GAAAGCTCTTTCAATGTTTTTAAACCTTAAATAAAAACTTTCTTTGTGCTTGCCTACTCTAATCAGAGTTCAATGTCTCAGGTGCTTCTTAGGGGCAACTGTCTCAATTCCTGTTTTCTGTAATAGCTAAAGAAAAAAGAGTAGAATGTTCTACCTACTTATTCTAGTTTTCTAGAGCTGCCATGACAGAGTAAAACAGATCAGGAGCTTTAAAAACAGAAATTTACTTTCTCACAATTCTGGAGACTAGGAGTCCAAGATCAAGGTGTCAGTGGGGTTGGTTTCTCTGAGGGCTCTCTTCTTGGTCTATAGATGGTTGTTTCTCCTTGTGGCTTCTCATGATCTTACCTTTATGTGTGTCCTATCCAACTTATTTTTAAGAACAGCAGTCATATTGGATTAGGGCCCACCCTAATGACCTCATTTTGCCAATTTAAAGGCTGCACCTTCAAATACAGTCTCATTTTGGTGTACTGGGAGATTAGGACTTCACTATACCAATTTGCGGGGAACACAATTTAGACCATAACATCACTTTATAGCACTCTCTAATGAAAATATATTGGTCACACATTAAGGTAACTTTTACTTCTGGTTGGATTTTTGGGTTAGATTCGAAAACTCTAAACAATTTTCCCATGTTTACTCACCCTGAGTAGACTAACTGCAAAAGTTGAGCTGGGAGAGATGAAAGAACAGATAGAAGAGGGACGATGTTAAGTTAAAAAAGGTAACAAACAAAGCAGAATGAACTTTGAGTAATATCTTTTAGGCAGCTTTTGTGACTATTATTTTCTGTTAATTGGCAGAATTATTATTTTTTACCTTGCAACCATGTCTAGAATTGATTATGCTTCCAATATAGGTGATAGGACAAGCTTGGAATTCTTTCTTGCTAAATTATTACTGGCAATGAGGAGACCTGGACACCCAGAGGGAAATGAGATCCATTCGTCACCTTCACCTGTAAGCAACATGGACCGAGGCATGGGGTGGGGTAGGATGGGCACACAATCCTGGCTCTTCCCTGGGGCTCTGTGTCTCCTGCTAAGGCTTTGACTCCATGAACCAGGTATCTGAGAACCAATAACAAGCCAGACTAGTCTGACAGAACCTGTTGCTGAGTCCTGGGAAGAAGAAATCACTGGAAATAAATTGGTGGAACATGGAATATGATTGAGAGGGGACAATGCTCATTCGATCAGGAGACAGTCAAAGATAACTCCAGAATTCTAGGTTGGACAGGAGGGCAATGGAGGCCTTGGCTCATGTTGATTTAAGAAAGAAGATAATGGCTTCAGTTTTGGAATCATTGATTTTGAATTGCTCATGGAATATCCCAGCAAGACTGACTAGTATATGAGGGGGACGTCTCCAAAACCTGGAATTATCTTTTTAGAGGACAGGTCCCTTGTAATACACTTGGAATTTGTTCCTCCAGATCATACAGCTAGCCAAAGTTTTTATCTGGAAAATTTGAGAAAGCTGTGTCATGATTTGAAGAAGAAACGTTCCAAGTGTGGCAAACAGGTGATTGGTTCTTCCACCATGACAACACACCCGCCTACTCTGTGCTGAGTGTTTGGCAGTTTTTGCTCAAAAACAGCATGACCTTTCTATCCCACCCTCTCTATTCACCCAATCTCGCTCCAAGTGACTTTTTGTTTCCCTGGGTGAAAAAAGTCCTTAAATGGAAATGTTTTGCTGTGGTGAAAGAGGTAAAACAAAAAATAACAGAAGCATGAAAAGGTATTAAAATTGACAAATTCAAAAACTGTTTTAAGCAGTGGTGAAAACATCTCAATAGGTGGGTTTCATCAAATAGAGATTACTTTGAAGGTGACTGAAGCCTAAACATGTAAGAATAAATGCACTTTTTAAATGAATAAAGTCCTGGGTTTGGGGGGGGGTCCTCCCTCATATGAACTGCCAAGTTTAAATAATTAGGTTCAGAAAATATGACCAAGTAAAGAGTTTATTCAAGTATAAAGCTTCAGGATAGCCCCTTGGTAGACACTGACTCCAAACAAATATGGTCAGTGCTCCAAAGTGAGGCTTCAGAGACAGAGAAATTTTAGCAGAATTATAATATTTCCACACAAGACCAGTGTATACGCTACAGCAATGTGATTGGTTAGAGATGGCTACATTCCTAGGAATATTCCTTTATCATTCCATGAGGAGAGGGTGTGATCTGAGGGATCTTATCTCTAGCATCAGCTGGGGGAATGGGAGGCTGGCAGACTGGAAGAATTGCAGAGCTCTGGAGAGCATCAGGGCGAGGCCAGAAGGCTAGCTGTGAGCAGTGAGGAGGTGAACTCCTGGGGCTAAGGGATCCGGTTTGAAGGGATGGTAAACTAGAAGGTGATCAGGTGATCTAAGGCTTAGAGAATCAGGGGGTAAAGAGATCACAGGTGGGGGCCTCAGAGGACGGAAACCTGAACACGGCATGGAGCAGCAAAGGTCTGGAGGTGGCAAGAGGGCAGAGCCCAGACCCCACACAGGCCTGACCTCTATTCTGTGAGTGTGTGGTGTGCATGATGAGGAGAAACAGCTCAATGGGAGAAGGGGCAGATCAGAGGATGGTCACTAGGGAGAGGCTAGGGCTGTGTGTGGGGACTTCCAGCCATCCACATCTCCAGGTGAGAGCAGACACAGGAGGTAATGAACAGGGGTGAAGAGACAGATACTCTGCCTCACTGCCTCCAGGCAACTGGAAACTGTGCAGCAACTTGGGGAGGGTTGTGTTGCTCTGGGGTGTATGTAGGGTGGCAGGGGAGAGGAGAGAAAGTGAGACAGCAGAACCCTTTGCCCTTCCCTAGGTCAGCATGTGTAGACAGGGCTGCATTCTCTTGTGCCCTCAATGTCTCCTCTTTGCATGTGAATCTTGTCACAACCAGTCAGAACAATATCCAGTCTTTATATTATGATTCCTAAGTTAGAGCTATTCTCTTCTTTTCAGTAAGTGGTCAAAAATCCTTCAGGTTATTAAATAATATCAAAATATAAAAAATGATAATAATAATATGAAAATGTTCGCTGAGTGTCAGGGCAGACTGCTGCAGCAAAATAGACTGGATGGCTTATAAACAGAAATTTACTTCGGCCCATTTTGGAGGCTGGAAGTCTAAATCTGGGAGCCAGTGTGGTTGGGTGCTGGTGAAATCTACATTCAAGGTGCAGGCAGTCAACTTCTCCATGAGTCCTCATGTGATGGAGAAAGGAAACAAATTATCTCCCATCCATGAATTCTCATGCATGAGAAACCCAAACTTCAGAACAATCAGAAAAGAAGAGAAAAACACCCTAATAACATCAACTTGGGTGAGGATGAGGGGGAGAGAGGCTTGGACTAGGGTGGGGTTACTGTGAGGGTGAGGAAAAGGATTGTATTATGGTTGAGGTATGGTGAGCGTGGAGGAAAGGGTTGGATTAGGGTTGAGTTACGGTGAGCATGGGGGAAAGTGTTGGGTTAGGGGTGGGTTACGGTGAGGGTGAGGGTGAAAGTGAGGGTTAGGGTGGGGGTTTGGGTTCACGGATTAGGATTCGGGCTCGGGGTTATGTCTAGGGGTTCGGGGTTGGGGTTGGGGTTAGGGTTAGGGTTAGGGTTAGGTTGAGCTCAGGTGAGCCTGGATCACTTCTCTAAAAACACAACCTGAGGCCTCCCAGAATGAGGATCCCGGACTCACACCTAGAATAATCACTATTCTGTGTTCACATAGTTGCCTGTGTTTGTCATGTGTGACATGGGACTGGCTTAATCTCTTACTGTTTTTTTCCGAATTTGGTTTGCAGAGGATCATAAAAGTGAGAAAGATCAAGCTGGACTTGAGCCACTGGCTCTCAGGTAATTCATAATAAAATCTGGTAAAACCAGGGCCAAGGCCCAAGGGCAACTTGACAAATCAAGCGGCAAAAAGGAATATGCTGAGCGTGATAAAGTCTCTTATTTATTGAAAAACAACCTCACTGTTGTTTTTAGCTAAATTCTTTTCTCTTTTGATAGAATTCATTGGTACATTAATTCTTCAGACTTGGTAACCTAGAAGAAATCTGACCTAAAAGCAAACTAATGAGTCTTTAAGAGTCTTCTGCATCCCCAAAGGTCTTCCCCGCTTTTTCCCTGTGTGTTTAACAACCAGGTTGAGCTTTTTGCAAGGTTGGCCTGCCCTGAGTTGGGTTGACAGCTAGTTTAATAGTCACCCAATTTCCTTGGGGAAGAAAGGATCATACAACAGTGCCTGGTAAAAGCACAGATCACTGGGAGGCTACAGTTTCTCAGGAACCAGTTCAATGCGTCGTTTCATATAACACTTAATAAAATACGGGCTCAGCGTCCATTGTGGCCACTAGTTTGAACTCTTTGTGTCATGCTTGTACCTTATTTCACATAATTGCTTCTTAAAATATCTATGGTGAGGGACAAGGTGTCTTGATTTTGCTTTTCTTTTTTATTTCGGATCCCTCAAGAGACATGCATGGCCCGTATGTACTTCAATTAACTACGAGATTCCACTGATCATACTTTTGAATGTTGGGACAGTGTTTTGCTCTGTGTTTCTCAATGCTTACTTTGACCTTTGTACTTATGTTGGAGATGGCAACACACAGTTTTCAGTTTCAGGGGCTATGCTTTAAGCAGTGGAGCCTTGAAAGGAAGGCTGGCGGTGTCTCTGCTAGTCCTCCTCATATTAGATGGCCAGAGTGCTGGGGGCTATTGTTCTCCCTCCATCTGCACCCCACTTATTCTCCACATAATTAGAGATGAGCTATTTTGATGATTCTCTGCAGCTGTGGCCTCCTTTTCTCAGGACTGACCTTGGTTTCACCTGTTGTCATCCCTTCCCCCCACCAGGCTCAGCAGGGAGCTGCAGGAGAAGGAGAAGGTGATCGAGGTCCTGCAGGCCCAACTGGACGCCCAGGCCCTCATGCCCCCCGGCAGCCGGGCCTTGTCAGACTCCCATGGCTCTCCCAGCAGCACCTCCTTCCTGTCTGATGAGCTGGAAGCTGGCTCTGACATGGACATAGCCAGCGAGTACACACAGTATGAAGAGAAGAAATCTTCACCCGGTCACTCAGGTAGCCTTCACTTTCTGAGTGGCACCATCTCTACCTAGCCCGAGAGGGGACCTTGGGAACCAGGCCTTATAGCTCCATCTTGGTGTGCCGCCGGCTGAACACGGCTCTGGGACCAAGTGTCGATGGATCAGGATCTTTGTTCCTGACCCTACAAGTTACCTCTGTCACCCTGCCTCTCCTGGCATTTATGTTTGAGGCAAGGCAAGCCACAGTGGGGAGAGCGAGATTATGACAGACTTTTCTTCCTGAGTGGCTCTGTCTGATAGACCTCCTTATTTAAGACTGAAGACTTCTTCATTTAAGATCTCATCTCTCCAGCAACAATCTTGCTACCTGCAGTTCCTAAAGAGTGATCCCTAAGTATTTGTGGGTCTCCACAGATGCTGCTCATCTTGCCTGATATTTTTAGAGGTGCCATTTTCATGGTATTAGAGCTCTGAGCTCCACTGCCACCTCTGAGGTGGTTTGCCTCCCTAAAGGAGCTATCTGCAAGTAAGAAATGAACACTGCTAACAGTGCTTGTGCTCACTGCTTTTCCTGAAAGAAAGACTCTTGTCCTTGTACTCCTGGTAAAATATAAGGCCTAGATTCCAGTTCTCTGTAGAACATCAAACATTTTCTTTCATTCGTGGGTTTTATAGATTTCATCCATCGTACAAGGCATTCTGCTGTATTGTCTTCTAAACCATCAGCAACCAGTGCCTCTCAGGGAGTTAAGGCCGAACCCAGCAGCAAACCTACCAGCTTGCCAACTCCCCAGAATTCCCCCAAGGAGGCCAGCCAGGCCTGTCCAGGTACGCAATTGCCAATGGGGCAGCAGTTTCACCTCCCCCTCCTCAGCTGCCTGTTTGACTCTCTTTGGGGACAGGGCCTAAATGTATCACGTTCTAGACAAAATCAAGAGACCATTCTCCTTTGCCAAGTGTGTCTGATTTTTTTTAAACTTGCTTTAAGTCTTTTAGAAAATAGGTGACTCACAACAGAATTTGATCTGCATACCAGTTTTGACCAATGGTTGGCTAATCATTTTAAAAGAATCAGGTTCATTCCCTTTTCTCTCCTTTTACCCTGGTGAGCAAAAAGGCAAATGTTTCTCCCGGGATGACAGCAGCCAAAGGATAAAAAGAACTCACTCCTGCTGATGCCCGTGCATGTTCCCCATTTAAGCTGCACAGTGTTCCTCCACGGGAGGGGCTGCTCACTTCAAAACCGAGGATGCCAGGGCGTCCTCAGCTAAGTCCTGCTCACATGCATCACCATGCATGCCATTTACAGATGTACAGGCAGGCCTTGTGGTGAGCACAGTGCATATCTTGGGGTCGATTAAAAGGGTCCATTTTATTGGCATGCCCGGCTCAGTTGCCAGGCAACGCACTGCTCATGCACAGCTCTGTAACAGGAAGGGCAGGAAAGGGGCAGACTTTGTCTTCACCTCCTATCTCCTGCGTGACTGGCTGGCCTTCAGGGTGGTTTGTGGCGAGACCTGACTCGAGTGGAGGTGCTTCCAGAAAGCACAGTGCCTTCTTCTGCTGCCCTCATTTCCCGGAGGGCAATTCAACCGAAATCTTAAGGACGAGGAAGTGTTATGACTCTTCCGGAGCCTGGGCTCAAATATTCTGGGCCAGCGTGAGCGGCAACTGGACCAGGAGATCATGAGGGAAAAGCTGTTCACTCAGAGCTGTAGACATCTGCTTGTGTGTCTTGGGTTCAAACAGCAGAAGGTCCAGGGCTTTAAAATCAGAATGCCTCTGCAAGGGATGCCTGGGCTGTGTCACTTAGCGATTTGGGTGTCTGCAGTATCGCTCTGACATGGTGTCAGCGTCATGGGACAAGGGATGTGTTTTAGAATGTAAGCATTGTCTTCCACACAAGACATTCTTCACAGGCCGTCTTGGTTTCTGCTCCTGCCCTATGGCTTTTTGTAGGAAAGGAGAAACAAATCAAACATTGGAACTTGCCAGCATTGCTAAAGACCTGTCTGTGGATGGGCTGCCTAAAGATCACCCGGGAAGATTTCCTGAAATGCAAATCTCCAAGCCTTGCTCCCAGAGTTTATGAATCTGTGGAACTGCATGAAGGCCTAAAAATATGCATGTATTAGGAGTTTTTCCTAAGTGACTCAAATGGCCCGGCAGGTTTCTATGCCATTCTGAATAAGCCACTCCACCAAGGCCTCTATTTTTAGTTTGGCGCTTGAACACATTGATTTGGAATTCTGAAGTTGGTTTTCATCAGTCCTGAACTGCATGCACTAGTAATTAAGATTTCCCCACGGCTCTTGTCCACGCCTACCCTCCTCAGGATGGGCCCTGATGCTTTCAGAGGTGGAGCTCTGGGTACAGGAAGAGTCCTGTCCCAGGCCAAGGATCGGCCCATCTGGAAGCAGCACCGCAGGAGTCCCTGGGAGCAGGCAGGCACAGCTGTTCTGAGCTGTCCACGCCCAGGATGGCTGCGTGGGGCTAGGTAATGCCTCCTTCCCTTCTGCAGCCAACTGTGTTCAAGATGAACACAGGATAGGTCTGCAGGACAGCCCTGGCATCCTGGCAAGGGGGAAAGGGGAAGAGTCAGCCAGGCCAGCCTTTCTGGTGGCCACGGTTGCTTTGGCTCTCTGCGAGACCCACACTGAGTGACAGCCACCCCTCACGGCGTGGTTCCACCTTCTCAGTCTTTCCCCTGCTCTTTTCTCTCACTTTCTCTCAGTGATGTGTCTCCTTTCTCCCTGCCCTGTCTGTTTCCAGGCTTTCCCTTGCACTCCCTGCCCAAGCTGGCGAGCCTTCCCCGGGCACCACTGCCCTCGGTGCCTTCCGACTTCCTGCCTTTCAGCACCCCCGGCCCTCCCCTCCTGGGCTGCTGTGAGACACCGGGGGTCTCTGTGGCCGAGGCACAGCAGGAGCTGCAGATGCTGCAGAAGCAGTTGGGAGAAAGTGAGCACTGGCTGTGCATTTGTGTGCTTGTGAGTGGCAGCCCCACACTGGGCGGCTCTGCATGGCTTGGGCTTGATGGCAGTTTCTAACACAACACCGGGGTATGTGTTGCAGATGAAAGGCCGAGGGAACGCTCCGCTTGCTTTTTTGGAAATGTGTTGACTGTTGCTTTTCTGGAGTGTGTGTCTTGTCATTTAACAGGTGTATGTGTTCATGAGATTGTAGGCCCTGGCTCACACACTATGGACAGTGCTGGAGACCACCAAGTATGCTGAATTCCCGACAGACGGGTGAATTCCTTCCACCCCTCGCTGGCAAGGGATGAAAGAGGCATTTCATGCTTTGTGCAGGATGAAGTAGCCATGAAAAAGATGACCCCACTCAGGGGACTCTTTTGTGTGGCTATTATATTTTCCTGCTGTAATGCTTTTAATCAAGTTCAGTTCCTGACAGCATCAGGCTGGGGCCAAAAGGGTGGTGGTAGAGGGATCCAGAAAGAAGAAGTGACATAGCCCCTTTCCTCCTCGCACAAGATTCATTCCTGCCTCAGGACAAGTGACATGTAGGCTGCTAGAACCACAACACATGCTCTGGTGTTTGATTGTGAATTCTGTCCTCTGATTCCTAAAGATAATTGACCTTAGGTAGTTACATAATGCATCAACTGGTGTACTGTCATCTTTTAGAAAACCGTTTTGGTTTATTTGTGGGCTGGATACTAAGAACTAGTAGTGAGCACTTATAGATTAGAAAAAGAAAAAACCCTCACATGATGAATTTTTTTCTCTAGTAGTACCTTAAAAAATAACAGGCACTAGAGAGCAATTTGAAATGAACTTAAATCCGCTTTCTGTGCCTATAAAGAAGCGAAAGACTTGTCTCCTTATCCCTGAAGCCCCGAATGTCATTTGGCCCAACCTCTTTCTGTTGTCAATCCCTGAAATGGACACTTTGTCTTTCCCCAGTTTGATTTCCAGAACCAGCTAGACCAAGACCATTTTCAGGAGAGTTTGTACATTCTGTAGGCAGTGAGGTCTAACAGGCTAACTCTTCTGCTTACCAGCTTTACATGGGAACAGCAATCTAGGGCTCACCTAGCAATGTGAACTGGGTCTTACTTGGGCCTCACAAAACTCCTGTGTGATAAATAAAGCTTGTGTAGGAACTAAAGCTCAGGGAAGTGAAGTTACTTGTTCAAGGTCACTAGTAAGTGGGAGAAGTGGGCTTGAATCCGATCTTCTGCTCTAGGTTTCATGTTTCCATTATGCCTTTTATACTTAGGATGGTTTTTATTATTATTCTGCTTAGACTGTTGGGCTAAGCTCAGCCTGAACAGACTCTGGAAACCCCTTGTAACAATATCTTCTCTCTCTTTAGAGACCAGTGGATGGTGCTAGTGTTTCTGACCTAAAATGTATTACTTTGGCAGTTCTGGTATCAACGATTGAAGGGTAACAAATGTGTCCCATACCAAATGGCAAGAGTATTCTCTAGTTTCATTTCTTTCTCTTGCCTTCTTTTACTTAATTTTTCCACATTTACCAACTTGTCTTTGTTGAAAGGGTAGGATGGAAGGAGAGCACTATGCATGAAAAGAGTCTGTTGTGGGTTAAATTGGAGTCACATTGAGTCTCAGGCCATTGGCCAGAGTTTGGATGGTCCCAGCTTTGGTGAGGAAGATTGTAACCCTTTCTTTTCCTGCCTGAAGACATGATGTTCTCCAAAACATTACTTCCCAAGCTCGTTGTTTGCTTTGGACCAATTTTCCATGTAGACAGTTGGTGTATTGTAGCTTCTCAAGACTCTGGGGGTGAAAATCTTGTGCAAGTCTGTATGGTGCAAGCCTTTGCATGGTTTAGGGCATATGCTCTATATTGTGAGCCAGAGAGCCTGGGATATGAGAATATTGGTCATAATCACTGGTAGACTTGGAACTTCCCATGACCTCGATTAAAAAGTAAACTGGCTGTCTGCAACCACTGATTTCTCTCTTTGCCTCGGAATGGGCTGGGGTTGAAAGGGGTGTGGAAGAGGCAGAAAATAATATTTTTATTGAATTCCTACAAAATTTAGGTGCTTAAAATTTAAATCTCCCTTCTTAACTCCCAGCAATCCTAATGAACATCTAGTATTTTACATATTGGAGAAAGAGACACCCATGACAATATTTTTCAAAGTTTGCTGCTTATTAGAATCACCTGGTATGATTTTGAACCATCCCTTGCTCAAGATGTATCCCATACCAATGAAGGCAAGATTTCTGGGGGTCTACATAGCAGTATATTTCCTTACATATTTCCTTAATGTGTTGCTAAATTTGAGAAACGGTTATGAATGGGGGTAGAAAGTGGCTTGTGGCAATTGCACTAACCCCTCCCAGGAGTCTGGCTTGGTTGGAGGAAGCAATGCCCTCACTCCTGTTTACGTATGCAGAGCGACCTATCTGTTCTGCTGCCCCCGTTCATAAGAAGGGAGTGGGCTTCCGAATATCTCCTAAAGTACGACCCTGCCCTCTTCTCTCTCCATCTCCGTCATGCTGGGTTTCTTTTCACTCGGAAGCAGAGATGATGGGCCTCAAGTGAAAGGCCTGGGATGTCACAGGGTCTGTGGAAGTACCGGCCTGCGAAATGAAAGGTCCTGCCTCCCTCTTTGGAATAGCGTTCAGTGATTCTTTAGACAGGAGTGGTAGCATTTTTCAGTTCCTTGAATCATGACGGATGGGATCCAAGCAGCCCTTGCCTTCCCCAGCGCCTTCCCCAGCCGCAGCTAAGAGTTCTTCAGTCCAGAGGAACTGGGACCACCATATCCAGCTGGATGTCACGTCCCATTCTCCTCTGAAAAACTTCCACGGATAGATGGAAACACTGACTGGCTAGCTTCTGGGGAAGGCGAGCGCTTATAGGCAAACAGATATTCCTGTTCATAAGTAAGCTCAATCCCATATCCCACTGCACTTTTGACTCCTAACTTTGGGGTGAGTCCCACTTTGGGAACTTCACTTGGACTCTGACATGAGGAATTATAGTCAGAGCCAGGAGTGGGGCCGCTGGACTTTTCCTTTGTGTGCCCTGGTGACTTTCAGACGTGCATCTGTCCTCTGTCCCTCGTGTCTCATTCTAGGCCGTGTGAAGAGCAGAAGTATCGCCTCTAGGTTGCGAGTCTTCATCTGAGTCGTATTCCGCAGTCGACTGGGAGTTCTGACACTCCACGTGTTCTCTTTTAGTCTCCATGCTTAGCAATCACACACCCCCTTGCTCATCCTTCCCTTCTAACAACCTGTTTGTTTCTAACTCATGTTTCTTTCTGCCCAGGTGTCAGCACTGTCCCCCCCCTGCGGCTACATTGCCAAGCAGCCACGGGGACGCCAGCTCTTCCCGCCACCTCAGCACTGCCCAGCCCCACTGTCCTCAGGGTGGCACCATAGAACTGGGCAGAATCCTGGAGCCTGGCTACCTGGGTGGCAACGGCCCGTGGAACATGATGAGGCCCCAGAAAGGGAGTGTGTCTGGGGGAGACCTATCCTCAGTCTCCTCTGTGTCCCAGCTGAACTCCAAACCCACAGGTAAAGCACAAAGCTGATGGGGCCGGTCTTTAAAAGAGAATCTCATTCAGAATCTACACCTTTCCTATGTGGGCAGAGCTTTTCTCGTTCCCCTTGTCCCCGACTCACAGAGTGAATGTGACACGAGAGGGCTGCATCATAGCACAATCCTTCCTGTGTGCAGGGCTTCATTCTCTCTGCCCCGGGCCTCATGTTCTGTGGGGAGACGGGAAAGCCAGGGCCCTGCTCCTCGTTTTCTCTTACTCACGTCCTTGTCTCTTTCCTTGCACCCTGACCTCTTTGCGGCCTCTCTCTCCGATCCCTCCAGAGTGCCAGGCATGGAGGTTCTCAGGGACTTCCTTCCGACAGTCAGGAGTGGCTACAGAAAGGGACACAGCTCTCCTGCCCACACCTATATCCGGGCATCTATCCTCCAGTCACACTGAGTGGAGAGGTGGAGCCAAGCACTGGAGTGCTGGCATGAGGCTCAGTGCCAACAGGGAGACTACTGGGTTTTCAGGAAAAGGCTAAGCCCAAAGCGGAGGGGTGCAGCTGATGTGGTCTGTCATTGGCATCCCTCCTGTTTCTCTTTCCTGCATTTTTTTCCTTCTCTGGAGGTGATCCTTCCCCCTCTCTCATCTACCTTCAGACCCCTAAATCCTTGCAGGCGACTCATTCTTCCTACTATATTAAAAGTGGTATCAGTCATTAACCATGTAAGGTGAGTTTAAGGTCAGGCACTTCTAACTCCAAGGCAGGAACCCCTCCCGCCCGCGACACCCACCCCAACACCCACGCAGCAGAGGTGCCCAGCTCAGCATTCTGTCACAGTAGCCGCCGCACTAGATTCTCACGGAAGCTTGAACCCCGTTTGAACTGTGCACACACAGGGTCCCTGTTGTGAACTGTGCACACACAGGGTCTAGGTTATGTGCTCCTTATGAGAATCTAATGCCCGATAATCCCCATGCCATCCCCATCCATGGAAAAATTGTCTTCCACGAAACCAGTCCCTGATGCCAAAAAAATCGGGGCTGCTTTAAGCCCCCTCTCCATGGGTGGTTGAAGGGGATTTGTCCCTTGCTCAAGAGCACTCGGTCATATATCAATTAGAAGAAAAGGTTGAGAGAAAAAGTAGAGTGAGTCCTTCCCTGTCATTCTCCAAGTCCCACCCAAGAGGTGGCCATGTCTTTCCAGGCGCGAGAAAGGCCCTTCGGTAAATTCTCTAAAACATGGGGAACTCCCTTTCACTTTACAAGAGCCCTTGTGGCAGGAGGCCCATGGGATTTCCTTAGCAATTAAACGAAAGTCCGTACAGTCTTCAAACAAACCACCGTTCCCAGGTTCCCAGGGGTGCCCATGTGAGAGGATGCAGTTGGCCGGAGGCGAGTGATGTTTTGGGATCCTGCTGGGAGGCCACTGGCTGGGTCCCACTCCCACTAGTAACTAGGATTCTCCATCTGCCACCTTTCCCCACATCCTGGTGGGATGGCTGCAGGGGCTGACCTGCTGGAAGAGCATCTTGGTGAAATCCGGAACCTGCGCCAGCGCCTGGAGGAGTCCATCTGTATCAATGACCGCCTGCGAGAGCAGCTGGAGCACCGGCTCAGCTCGACTGCCCGAGGAGGGGGTAGGATGGCCCAGGCCTTCCTGTTCCTGGCCTTATCTAGGGAGCTTCTGAAGGGAGGGCCCTTAGGCAGAGCCTCACAGATTTCCAAGCGCCTTGATACGCTTCACTTCACTTGCTCCCGACAGAACAGTCCAGCAAGGGTCGTGGGCCGAGTACTGTTACCCCTCCTTTATGGACATATCTGAGCTTAGAGGGTAACTTTCCTCGGGCATGCCAGGTCTGGTCTCCAGAGTCACTTAACTTCTCACCCATCCTTAATCTGCTTCTATACTGTGGGCTGATTCTCTGTGCTCTTGCTGTGTGATTGACAAGGGATAGAGCCAGGTCTGCAAGGGTTCACCCCCACCCCCGCCCATGTCCCCAGCTGCTTCACCGAGGTGGCCGTTCTCCCCAGACTCTCCTTCCAGCTGCAGTCACTTAGAGGCCAACCCTTTCATACACTGTCATCCTGCCCACACTGCAGCAGCAGATGTTTATGGAGAGCCTCCTGCACCATTGTCGTTACCGTGTGTGGAAATGCCTGCAAGAACCCCGGAGAAGAGGCTCACAGAAACCAGGCTTTCGGCCCATCATGCATTATTTAGTCTCAGGCCTTGAGTCCCTGGGGTTTTCTGCTGGGTTGGGCCACATAGTACAGAACTTCTCCTTTGGGAGACATACAACAGGAAACTTCTGGAAGTGTCTGTTACCCAAATGTGTGCTTTCTGGCACAGGATCCACCTCTAACTTCTACAGTCAAGGCCTAGAGTCCATACCTCAGCTATGCAGTGAAAACAGAATCCTCAGGGAAGAAAACCAAAGCCTTCAGGCTCAGCTGAGTCACATTTCCAGAGGTGGGTGCTCAAAAACCACACGGTGTGGTCACTTCTAGGTCCCTTTTTTCCCTGGTTGCACTGATCACCAATCGAAGAAGCCAAGAGAGGAAGGCAGAGATCACAGAGCTACACGGATCCACCAACCCAACATCGTCATAGCTGTTTCTCAGTCTAGAAAGGGCTGCTTCACTAAGAGGTCCCAACTGTGGGCCCCTCCAGCCCTAGGCTCCGGGGGTGAATAGCTCTAGAATGCGTCGTTGCAGTAAAAGCCCACCTGCAGATACGCAGAGTCACAGGTTGTCAAACTGGACACCAATTTGGAATCTGCTCTGCCTCCCCTACTCACAGCTGATATGGAACCAGGACAGGAAGGAGTATGAGTCCCGATATTCTCTCCCTGTTTCTCAGACATCGCTGCAGCTCTGTTGTCCCTTATGGTCCTGTCCTGCCGTCCCTCTGCCTTCTCCCCATACCACCTCACTCATACACTCAGGGCTCTCATCTGGTCAGCACTGCTGTGACTCCATGTTTGAAGGCACCAGTAAATGTCCTTCAGAACTTTCCCAATTCATTCAAGGGGTGTTTATAGGTGGGTATCATTTCCCACGTGGCCTGGAAGGCAGCTGAGCTTAGTGTTAACCGATTTGATCAAATCAATATATTATCAGTAGCAAATTGCATTAATTTACAAATATTTATTGAACAGCCATAAGATGACTAAGAATAGTATCCAAAAGGATTAAGTCCAGACTGAAGGAATGCTTATGGAAAAGGGAGATGACGTCAAGAGACATTTCTAAATTAGCCGCTTCAGAGCAAAGAGGCTTGAGGGGAAAGGTCACTGCTTGGGGAAGATAACAAAAGTTGATAGATAAGAGAGAAGGCAGGACGACTCGATGACGATCGCATGCTTGGAGAGACTAGAACAGACCTCACAGGTGAGCGGACAGTAAGAGGTTTAACTGAGTACAATTTGCTAAGCTCAGGTCAATTCACCCCGAGAGGATTGTCTGAACCTTCAGCCTTTTCTGAATTTCTACCAGTAATTTTTGACAACTTGTAAAAATCAGTGAATTGTCACAGGGTCCAGAAGAGAACGCATGCCCAAGTTTCAAAATAATGAAAATATGTCCTCAAAAAATCTTTACGAATTTTTTCAAGCTTCAAGAATGGACTTTTGAATGAGTGGTAGGTGAGCACATGGAAGATGGGAAGGGATAGAACCTGGAATGTTTCCTCTAAGAGCAAGGGAGGCCGGATTAAGCCAGTGGGATGGAGGCAAGTGCGGGGAGAGGCGCACGGCGCCCGGGCGGCGTGGGATGGTGAGCCAGCCTGCCCTCTGCCCACCAGCACAGGGCCTTCCTTCCCTTCCCCGGAGTCTGCGGGTCAGGGCAGATGTGCTTGGGCTTGTCTTCCTGCCCAGCGTTGGCCCCACAACGGAAACACTCCTGTGTTCTCTCCAGAGCACTCCCGAGAAACAGAAAGCCTGAGGGAGGCCCTGCTGTCCTCTCAGTCCCGGCTTCAGGAGCTGGAAAAGGAGCTGGAGCACCAGAGGACGGGAAGGCAGCAGCTTTTGGAAGATCTGAGTGAGAAGCAGCAAGAGATCTTGCATTTCAAGGAGGAACGTCTATCCCTCCAGGAAAATGGCTCCAGGTCAGAGGCCCATTGGTAGACACGGTGGCCCCATTTTCACATTAGAAGAAGGGGTATCGACAGGACAGTCCATGTCCTCTTTTGGAAGCCTCAGTTTCCCCTCTACTATTCCTGGTTTAGGGGTGGCTTTGAGTGGGAAGAAGAACCTCTCTGGGAATGTCCCTTTCACTCCAAAATTGAGAGAGTAAATTCTGTAATAGAAGGCTTCAATCTATCAGAGCCTGGAGAAAGAACATTCCTACACTTCCATTTAGATACCATAACCGAGGAAGCCTCTACACTAGCCATGATGCTTGTTCCTGCCACAAGCCCTATCATAACTCCTGTCAACATGAAAAGAGCATGGTAGGAGCAGTTAGAAGTCTGTGCTGGTATCTCAGTTCTACTCTTAGCTAATGTAGCTAATGGTATGACTTCAAGCAAAGTTACTTTGCCTCTCTAAGCCTCTGTTTCCACATCTGTAAAAGGAAGTTGATGGCTTTCATGACCTCCTGAGTTGACATCTGGGGCTCAGAGAGGTTGGCTTCCGGCTTATTATCCCTGTGTGGCTGAGTGGCCCCGCTGTTCAGTAGACCTTGCCTCTCCCCTGGCAGGCTGCAGCACAAGCTGGCCCTCCTGCAGCAGCAGTGTGAGGAGAAGCAGCAGTTCTTCCAGTCCCTCCAGTCAGAGCTGCAGATCTACGAGGCCCTCTGTGGCAGTTCCAAGAAGGGCCTGAAAGGTACGTGTTCTGACCCCTCCACCCCATGAGCTTTCTGCTCTTGCTGAGGATATGAGCGAGGCCTTTCCTTTGGAAGCTGTGGAAATCATGGGAAGCTACAGCGTTCTCTCAGAAAACCCCAGCCAGGCCTGGGCTCCCAATAAGAAGACAGTGGAGTTCTCAGACACAAAACCCAAAGGACCCCAGAAGTAAATTTTACCCACTTAGATGACCAGAGACAAGTTCATCAGTTTCCAGATTATATCTTTTTTATTTTAAGCAAAGACCTGTCTTAATAGTATTATCATTTGATCTTTAATCAATGGTCTTTAATACTGTGAATAATATATACTGACAGCACATGCAGCCAATGTAGCAGGCAGTTTGCTCCTGCCAACCCTTTCCCTAGTGCGAAAATGAAAAGATACCAAAAACAAACAAACAAACAAACAAACAAAAAACACCTTATAGAAATACCACTAGTAGGGCCTAAGTTTCAATCCTGAATTTAAGTGTTAAGTGCATTTATTGAGCACTTTTGTCAACTACTGAAATAATAATCTAGTATTTGAAAACCTTGGTATATTTCCCCATTCTTCTTTAAGTAGAGAAGGGTATTCAAAACATGATGTTTTTGTTTATTTGTTTGAAAATATAATACGTTACAACAGGCTGGAACAGAGGGCTAACATGAATGTCATTAAATTTAGCAGAGGGCCGGGTTTGGTGGCTTAGCCTGTAATCCCGCGCCTTTGGGAGGCTGAGGTGAGTGGATTGTCTGTGCCCATGGGTTTGAGACCCGCCTGGGCAGCAAGACCTCATCTCTACAATACATCAAAAAAATCAGCCGGGCATGGTAGCACATGCCTGTAATTCCGGCTACTTGGAAGGCTGAGGCGGAAGGATGGCCAGAGCCCAGCAGGTCGAGGCTGCGGTGGCCGGGAGCGGCCACTGCACTCCAGTCTGGGTGACAGAGTGAGACTCCAACTCAAAAAAAAAAAAAAAATTTAGCAGAGATAAAAAATAAAATCCTGAGCTTGATTAAAAATACCAGTGGGAAAAACCCCCAACATATTCGTGGTAGAAATATAGGATGGGGGTCTGGTTCTGCAGCCATTCATGAGCTTGAGGGTGGGGGAGCCTGGAAGAAACGTTTACCCAAGTAAAGTGTAGGTCAAGGGTCTGCTAGAAAAGTCAACTCAACCTGAGACCACAGGAGTATAACTGTGATGCTATACTGAGCGGCACTGTCCTGTCAGAGGGCATTGGCACACTAGGGAACATAACAAAGACAGGAGGCACAATGGTGTGGGACTAGAAATCTCAGACAGACTGAAGAAGCTAAAAAAATTCAGCTTTGAAAAGATCCTGAGGAGATGAGAACCGGCTTCAGATATTTGAAGAACTGTCAGGTGAAAAAACCTGATGCGTTTTGTGTCCCTTCAGAGGGCCAAACAAAGGGTAAAGAATAATGGAGTTTAGATAAAAATTTTCATAACATCTGACTGAGTCTCCTAATTTACTAAAGAGAAGGTGAACTGGACCTTGAGGACACATAGGGGGCTCCTCAAGCTGAGAGAACAGCACAAGCCCAAAGTCATATGAGTAGTCAGTGGGGAGACCAGCTGACCCACAGGAAGAGCTTCGTATCAGGGGGAGTGAGAAGTCAGGTTAGTGGGACAGAGAGTCACTGGGATTCAGAAAGCCTACATGTCAGAATAAAAGTTTACACTTTATGCAGGAGAAAATGAAGATAAGTCTGTTTTTTCTTTTTTTCAAGGAACATAAGCATGTGATGAAAACAGACCTTTAAGATGTTAAGTCTCATGGGATGCACTGGAGTTAGGAGACCTTAGAATCCAGGAAACCTACTAGATAGGTCTAGTGATGTTCTGGGACATTAAGAGATGGGAAGATGAAAAAAGTTTCTGAAAAAACAATAATCAAAATTTAGTGAGAATTTGGATTTAGAGAGGAAGGAATATGTCACAGAACTTTGGGCAAGATTCAATCATTCTTTTTTTTTTGAGTTGGAGTCTCACTCCGTCGCCCAGGCTGGAGTGCAGTGGCATGCTCGCAGCCTCTTCAGCATCGACCTGTTGGGCTCCGGGGATCCTTCTACCTCAGCCTTCCAAGTAGCCGGAACTATAGGCATGCACTACCACACCCGGCTAATTATTCATTTCTTTATTGTAAAGATGCGGTCTCAGCACGTTGCCCAGGCTGGTCTCGAACCTGCGGGCTCAGGCAGTCCTCTCGTCTTAGTCCCCCAAAGTGCTGGGATTACAGGCTTGAGCCACCATGCCTGGCCTAAGATTCAATAATTTTTTTCATGCCTTTTTCCCTGCTTATAGGCCTTTTAAGATTCATTCTCAAACCTACTACCACTAAAGCTCCATAGCCCCTTAGACTTAATTTCAAAATCCAGTAAGAACTCCAAACTGAAAGCTTTTGCACATACTCATTTGATGACTGAAACCTAAAGGAACGGGCCAGGGGACAGTCACAGTCTTTCTTGATCTACTTGGAATATTCACACAGCTCATTGCAGTGTGTTTGATTAAGGGGTGTGGCTCAGAGGCAACTGGGTCACGTGACGCAGGGTGTATGTGGTCTATACACCCTACTGTCTGTTAAACCCAAACAGATTCTGCCTTTTGAAATACATCGGGCCTTCAGGTTTTCAGAGAAGGACTGTGGCCTTATAGCACATCTCTGAGTGTGATGGCCATCAAATCCCACTCTCTCACCCCCTACCCTTCTCGAGTTTCGTGCTGACCTTCTGCCTGCGAGAACCCTGCAGTCTAGCCTGCAGGACTAAGGTTACCATGGAGAGGAAACAATGGACCTGTCCTTCTCTGCGAACCAAATGCCCTCTGGGTGCACGTGGGTCGTATGAACCTCAGGGAAATTCCAGGCTGAACCTGCACCATCTCAGCATGCCGCAGGCTCCACACAGTTCTGGTGACATCTCTATCGCATGTGTGTTGCACAAGGTGCTGGGATTGCAGTAGAGTCTTTGGCAGAAAGGAATGTCACAGAGGATGTTCTGACAAGTGCTTGGAAATAAAACACTTGGTCACTGCCACCTGCCCCCTCGTCTCTCTCCTTTCAGCTTATTGTCCGGATGCTTGTCATCAAGTCCCTCTGAGCAGTGACTTGGGCCACCTTGTGGCGGAGATCCGAGCTCTGAGAGGGCAGCTGGAGCAGAGCATTCAGGTGAACAATTGTCTGCGACTGCAGCTGCAGCAGCAGCTGGATGGTGGTGCTGGCAAAGCCGGCCTCAGCACCTCCTCTGTTAACCAGAACTTCCTAGCCAGCACTGACTTTGGAAACAAGCCGCCGCTCCTCCAAGGTAGGAAGGAAAAGGGAACGAGGAAGCCTCAGTCAGCGGGAGGGCCCACAGTGGAAGGAACAGTCTGTCTCTCCCATGCTCCTTAGGGTCAGGTTGAAATTGGAGATGTTCTAATAAAGCACCCTGAGGGAGAGTCAGACCTCCAGACTCTGAATTTGCCTCTTACGGGGGGTTGCTTTGGGCAGTGTTTAAACTCTCAGATGTTTAAGCCTTAGTTACCTCATCTTTAAGATGGGGATAATAGTGATGGTGATCAGAATAATATTAATGATATATACCTTGTATGGTTATACTGAGCTTAGATGAAATAACTTAAAAGTGCCTGGCACAATAAGAATTGCTCAATAATGAGCAGCTATATATGTTAATGTCTATTCCTTGTGTTTGCTTAGTGCTTTAATATATGCCAAGTGTTTTCAAATATGTGATTTCATCTGTAGTAGGAGAGTTCTTACTATCTCTGTATTTCACACGATAAAACTTAGGCACTGAGACACGAACAGACCAGGGTTTATAGGAGTTAGAGACAGAGCCCGGCTTAGAACCGGATGTTTTGACTTCTAGTCTGTGCTCCTTCCCCTTCCCCATGCTCTGCCTCGGTATTGCTGACCTTCCCAGACTCTCTAGGCTTGCTTTCCTTTCCCTCCTGTGTGAATAAATGTTGCCGTTCCTAAGGAAGCCAGGACCCTGGGGAAGTACAGGATGACGGGCAGGCTTGTTCCAGGTGGCAGCCGTTCACTTCCTCCACCCCGCCCACTTGCTGCCTTTTCAGACTGGACCAGGTCTCTTCCTCTCTTCTCAGCATCCCTCATCAGTCTCACTTTAATGTGAATTTTAATCGAGCTCTCTCACAAGCCTCTTGACTCACTCAATTTCTACTTCCTCTTCAGTTTTTTCTTTTGATATACAGTTTAATACACCATCTCCGTTTGCTTCCATGGCCATGTCTTCCGTTTTATTCTGATCAGGCACCACTGCTGTTCAGTTTCGCTAAAGCTGATCTTTCAAGCCTTTATGCCAGCTGTTCCCAAGCCATGCCAACCTTATTTTTCCCTCTGGTTCTTGCAGATGCTAATTAATTTATCAGACAATAACCTCATTTGGCAAAGAAGGCAACAAGAACACACTCATGCTGTTTGGCAATTAAATATAAAAATGCATGTGGGCTGCCAAGTGCAGTGCCTGGCTGCTAGAGACTGCGTTACCTGCACTGGGCAGATGCCTTCCCTCCTTGGGGCTGCTGGGATGGTTGTAGTGTTAAGCTTCACCTCCTCTTCCCTCTCACCAGGCTTCCTCCTCTCATCGGCGTCCCATATGCCAGCTGAAACTCGCCCCACGGGCTCAGCTCCTGCTCCCCTTCTTCCTGCACCCCAGGGGCCAGGGCTGGAAAGCAGGCTCTGAGCCACACTCACCTGAGCAGGACCTTTTTTGCCTTCTTTGTGGTGCTTTCCCGTTCTTACACAGCAGGGTCCTTTCTTGTCTCCAACAGGGCAACTTTAACCCATGAAACCTTCTGCCTTCTCTCTTCTCAGTACTAACTCAACAGAATGGTGACTAGAATGTTGAGTTTTATCCCCCATGAATCCTTATTTGATTTAATGTTTTTACATATATGCTCTATATGCTTTCTCATATTTATATTTAGTTACAAGGCATTGCATCAGGCACTACATACAAATTATACTCAAAACTAGATTTACAAAAATAGACCTGATAATTTTTTAAACTAGATGTTGCTTTCTCATGGAACATCTTTCTTTTTTTTTTTTTTTTTTTTGAGTTGGAGTTTCACTCCGTTGCCCAGACTGGAGTGCAGTGGCCGCTCCCGGCCACCACAGCCTCTACCCACTGGGCTCTGGCGATCCTTCCATCTCAGTCTTCTGAGTAGCCGGAATTACGGGCATGCGCTACCACGCCCGGCTGATTTTTGATTTATTGTAGAGATGAGGTCTCGTTGCCCAGGCGGGTCTCGAACCCGCGGGCTCAGGCAATCCACTCACCTCAGCCTCCCAAAGGCGCAGGATTACAGGCTGAGCCACCGAGCCCAGCTGGAACATCTTTCAATTAAAGGAACATCTTAGCCTAACAAATCTCCTAAGGAAGCTAGAAAGACAAGACCATCAAAACCCCAACATCAGCAGAAGAGTCCAGATCACCAAAGTAAAAGTTCAAATACAGGACATAGAAGACAAAGATATCATAGAAAAAAATCAGCAAAACAAAAAGCTGGTTCATTGAAAGGACAAACAAGATTGACAGACCCCTAGCCAGATTGGCCAGAGGGAGAGACAGAGAGGAAGAGAGAGAGAGAGAGAGAGAGAGCCCAAATAAACAAAATCAGAAATGCAAAAGATCAAATCACAGCAGACCCTGAAGAAATACAAAAACATCAGAGATTACTATGCACCCTATATGGAAACAAACTCAAAAACCTGAATGAAATGGAAGACTTTCTGACATCACACAACCTCCTAAGGTTGAAATAAGAAGAAATTGAGACATCAAGTAGACCAATAACAACCCAGGATAGGCCAGGCTCAGTGGCTCAGCCTGTAATCCCAGCATTTTGGGAGGCTGAGGTGAGTAGATTGCCTGAGTCCGTGGGTTCGAGACCAGCCTGGGCAACTTTGTGAGACCTTGTTTCTACAATAAATAAAAAATTAGCCGAGTGTTGTAGGGCGTGCCTGTAGTTCTGGCTACTTGGAAGGCAGAGGTGGAAGGATCGCCGGAACTCAGCAGGTCAACGCTGGGGTGGCTGTGAGTGTGCCACTGCACTCCAGCCTGGGTGACAGGGTGAGACTCTAACTCAAAAAATCCCCAATAGAACAACAACAACAAAATCAACCCAGGATATTGACTCTGTCATAAGAAAACTACACACACACACACACACACACACACACACACACACACACACACACACACACACAAAGTCCTGGACCAAATGGCTTTTCGGCTGATACCAATCCTATGGAAAGAATTCCAAGCAATCAAGAAAGATGAAACTCTCCTCAAATCTTTTTATGAAGCTAACATCACACTGATACCCAAACTGGGTAAAGGTCCAACAAAGTAAGAGAGCTACCGGCCAATATCCCAAATGAATATAGATGCAAAAATATTCACAAGAGTCTAGCAAATCAGATCCAACAACACATTTCAAAAATCATCCACCTTGACCAAGTAGGCTTCATTCCTGGGATGCAGGGCAGGTTCAACATCCAGAAGACCATAAATGATACTAGGAATTACATGATTATATCATTAGACATAGAAAATGCTTTCAATAAAATCCAGCTTTCCTTCTTGATAAAAACTCTTGAACTCCTAGGCACAGAGGGAACATACCTCAAAAGAATAAGACCCATCTACAATAAACCCACAGCCAACATATTGCTAAATGAACAAAAATTGGAAGCATTTCCCCTAAAAACCAGAACAAGACAAGGTTGTCCACTCTCACCCGTCTGGTTCAACGTAGCGTTGAAAGTCCTAGCTAGAGAAATCTGACAAGAGAAGAAAATCAGGGGTATCGAAATAGGAAAAGAGGAAGTCAAATTATCCTACTTGGCCGATGGTATGATTCTATATCTCAAAAATCCAAGAGAATCTGTCAAAAACCTGCTTGCACTGATGAAGGACTTTGGCAAAGTTTCAGGGTACAAAATCAGAGTGCAAAAGACAGTTTCAGTCGTATACACCAACAACAAACAGAACCAAATAAAAAGCACAATCTCATTCACAATAGCAACAACAACAACAACATGAAATACTTCAGCATCTTCCTAACCAGAGCAGTGAAAGACCTTTACAACAAAAACTACAAAACACTGCTCAAAGAAATCAAAGATGACACAAACAAATGGAAAAATATTTCATGATCAAGAATCAACGTTAAGATGTCCATCCTACCCAAGGCAATCTACAGATTAATGCAGTACCCATTAAATTACCAGCAGCATTCTTCTCTGATTTGGAAATGACAATATTGAAATTCAGATGGAAACAAATGATCATGAATAGCCACAACCATCCTCAGCAAAAGAAACAAAGTGGGAGGTATCACACTTCCAGACTTTAAACTTTTTTATAAGGTTACAATAGTCAAAACAGCCTGGTATTGGTACAGGAACAGGCATATAGACCAATGGGACAGGATAGAGATTCCGGAAGCAAAACCTCAATTTCTCAACCAACTCAGCTTCGACAAAGCCTCCATCATCAGTCACTGGGGAGAGGAGAACCTATTCAGTAAATGGTGCTGGGAAAACTGGCTGACCACATGCGAAGATTAAAACAAGACCCCTACCTATCACCATACACAAAAATCAACTCTAAATGGATCAAAGACCTAAACATAAAACCTCAAACTAAGAAACTTCGAAAATGCAGGAGACACTCTTATGGAAATTGGAACTGGCAACCAATTCCTGCTCAAAACCCCAAATGCCCAGGCCGTAAGAGATAAGATTGACAAACAGAACCTTATCAAACTGAAAAACTTCTGCAAATCAAAAGAAGCCATCAAGAGAGTGAAGAGACAGCCCACATAATGGGAAAAAATATTTGCCAACTGTATATCTGACAAAGGCCTAACATCTAGGATCTACAAGGAACTCAAATGTGCTGAAAAGAAAAAAACAAACAGCCCTATTAAAAAGTGGGCAAATGATATGGATAGACACTTCTCAAAAGAAGACATATGAGCAGCCAACACATACATGAGAAAATGCTCAGCCTCACTAATAAAAAAAATGCAAATTAAAACTACAGTGAGGTACCATCTAACTCCAGTCAGGATGGCCATCATCAATAACTCAAAAAGCAACAGATGCTGGAGAGTATGCAGGGAAACAGGAACACTTCTAAATTGTTGGTGGGATGTAAACTAGTACAGCCTCTGTGGAAAACAGGTGGTGATTCCTAAAAGATCTAAAAATCAACCTTCCATATGACCTAGCAATCCTCCTTCTGGGACTATACCCAGAGGAACTCAAATCACTCTATAAAAAGGATACCTGCAGGCACATTGCCACATCACTCACAATAGCAAAAACAGGGAACCAACCATGTTGCCCATCCAAACAGGACTGGATAAAAAAAAATATGGTGTATATATACACAAGAGAATATTACACAGCCATGAAGCAGAACAAAATTATGAACTTCAAAGCAACTTGGATGGATTTAGAGTCTAAAATACTCGGTGATCTTTCACAGAAACAAAGAACCAAGTACCACTCATAAGCGGACCCTGAACAATTATCATAACACTACAAGAAAGAGATCAGCAGTAATGGGATATTGTGTGGGGGGTGGGGGGAGTACACTTCATCAATAAGAGTACCTGATCTTAAACCAGGTGAAGAGGGGATCAAGTGAAACCCAAACTTTACCTGTACAATGACCATAACTACCTCTGAATTGTACCCCGTAGTTTTAAAATAAAAATTAAAAAAATAAAAATAAAGGAACACCTTTTTGTTCTGAAGAATAGAAACATGCTAAACTGACTGTTGGCTATTGCTTTTGATTGTAGTATCTGGATGGCAATTATGTGAGAGGTGAGTCCTCTGCCTCAGGTCTTGGCATGTGCATGGTGTGCAGTGTTCCAGAGATTCTGAAATTGTGGTTGTCTTTACGCCCTAGATCCAGCTGCTTCCCCTCCAGTGCGGGATGCTGGCATGCATTCTCCAACTCTGGTCTTCCCCGGCTCTTCTTCCGCCACTCCTGGCTCAGAAACGGCCGTATTCAACAGGACAGATGGTAAATACGGCAACTAAATGTCTCAGGAACTGACAATGGAATGTCATTAACACGAACAAGCCTTGGTTCTCTATACGCCCTTGATCTGAATTTAGAGATTTTTCTCTGCACTCCACAAGGCCTTCAGCCCTACTCGTTGCACCTTATGCGACTGTCTTTCTTGTCTTTCTTCATCCTCCTCTTGTTTCCTCCTGTTCTTTGGTTCGTCGCCCTGTCATCTCTCCATTCTTAAAAGTGCTGTCTGTTGATTGCCTGAGCCCGCGGGTTCGAGACCCGCCTGGGCAGCGAGACCTCATCTCTACAATAAATCAAAAAATCAGCCGGGCATGGTAGCGCATGCCTGTAATTCCGGCTATTCGGAAGGCTGAGGTGGAAGGATCGCCGGAGCCCAGCAGGTCGAGGCTGCGGTGGCCGGGAGCGGCCACTGCGCTCCAGCCTGGGCGACAGAGTGAGACTCCAACTAAAAAAAAAAAAAAAAGTGCTATCTGTATCCAGCTTGATATCCTTGTCTGTGTCTTCTCTACTCAGAAACTTATTTTATTTATGAGTAATATTTGTACTGAAATCATGTTGTTTGTAGCAACATGGATGCAGCTGGAGACCATTGTTCTAAGTGAACTATCACAGAAACAAAAAACGGAAGACTGCATGTTCTCACTCCTAAGTGGGCCCTAAACATTGGATACTTGAGCACAAAGGCAGGAAGAACAGAGGCCAGGCCCTGCTCATGGAAGGAGGGAAGGGGACAAGGGACACACAACCACCCGTTGGGGACCTTGTCCACCACCAGGGGAAGAGAGAGCTTGCCAGAAGCAAATCTCACCTGTTTGCTGTTTACTTATGTAGCAAGTCCTCCTGTGTGCCCTACAACTCTAAAATAATATTTGTTCTGGCTATTTCATTGGTCAATAAGGAAGTTTGCCATGAAGAGATGATATAAGAAAGATTATAAAAATAGGAACCTAGAACATCTCCATGGACTTCACACCACCCTTGTACATGCCAAAGCTTCCTTTCTTGTTCTCAGCCTCTTTCACTACCAATTTTGGATTGGAATGAACTGAGGATATCACTATGAATTCATAAAGATTCATTTTGTTGTGGTGGTCTTTTTCAGGCCTGGATTTGGACACTTCTCTAGTAATGAAGAACCCTCCCAAACTGGAGGGTGATGCTACTGATGGCTCCTTTGCCAATAAGCATGGCCGCCATGTCATTGGCCACATCGATGACTATGGTGCCCTCCAACAGCAGATTGGAGAGGGCAAGGTGCTGATTAAAAAGATAGCATCTATCGTGAAATCAACAAGCAACTTCCTTGGCCTTGATGCCCAGGGCACAGAGGTAATCTCATCTGTACCTTCAGGTGCGCTCTTTCTTTGGGCTTTTTCTTCCTCTGATTCAACTCCACCTCCCACTATTTTTTTTCTTGTCTTACATCTCTTAACAGTTGAGTCTACCTCATTGGTTTATAGCAGCAAAGCCCTTTCTTCTCCAGCCCCTATTTTTATTACAAGTTCTGCTTTGTTCCAGATGGAACTGACAGGCTATTTCCCCCGAGACTTGTAGAAAAACTCATGTAGCAGCATCGTCATCGTGAGCAGAGCATATATTGCATGTCCAAATACACTGGGTGTGGCACGAGTACCCTCTGGGAGCCTATTGTCTGTTACAATCATGCAGGCACATGGCCATCTGTGAGCAGAATGAAATCAGTCAAATGGACAGAAATGGAGGGATTTCCAGGTATTTGGGCCACACATGTGGAAGGGGTAAGAAGCCTTGGGCAACTTGGCGAGACCTCATCTCTACAATAAATCAAAAATTAGCCAGGTGTGGTAGTGCGCGCCTGTAGTTCCAGCCACTTTGAAGGCTGAGGTGGAAGGATCGCTGGAGCCCAGCAGGTCGAGGCTGCGGTGGCCAGGAGTGTACCACTGCACTCCAGTCTGGGCGACAGAACAAGATTCCAACTCAAAAAAAAAAAAAAAAAAGAAGAAGCCTGACAGCTGTGGGATTTCTTTGTGTCGACCGTGCAGGGTAGGAAAGGCAGTCAGCAAAGCTTCTCAGAAGCCGCCACTGGTGAGAGCGACCAGGCACCATTGGCTGTGCTCTCTGAGCCACCGGAGACCCGTGGATGTGTGGAGACAGCCCTGCCTCCAAATAGCCCCCACACTAGAGGGTAAGACGTACCCAAGTAGATGAGCACAGTAAGGGGCTACTGGTGTCACGTGAGAAGTTATGAGGACTAATGCAGAGTGGCCATTTGTCCTAGGCAAGGAAGGTCACAGGTTCATAGTAGAGGTAGCACAGAGGATGAGTGTTGAAAGCCCTGTTGGTTCTCCAGGTGGAGGTGGGTATTCCTGGGAGCTGCAGATGGTTGAGCAAGGTTTTCACAGGTTCAAGCAGGACCGTGTCCTGTGCATCACTCCCAAAGGAAGCTTGAGCCCTGTGTAATCGCTCCGCTCCAGAGATGCGCATGGCTCCCCTTGCCTTTCCCCAGGTGCTGGGAAGCAAAGGCATCCACGAGCTTCAGAGCAGCGCCAACACCCTGCACCAGGCCCTGGAGGAGTCGGCCTCCCTCCTCACCATGTTCTGGAGAGCGGCCCTGCCAGGCGCTCACAGGCCTGTGCTGCCTGGCAAAGTGGTAAGATGCTAGGGTCCTTTCCTGGTTCAAACCCAGCTCTTCTTCTCCCAGTACTGTCCTGTCTCCTCAGCCCTACAGCCTTTCAGAATATCGGGAGCCACGTAGTGAGCTGGGATAGACAGGATCTTAGGGAGCACTTCCTAGCGGGAGACTTTGATGCAGGATAGCTTCTTTCACGGTGGCTCTAGCTACATGTCCCTTCTCCTATTTCCTGACCCCAAATAAAAAACTAAAGAGCAAGAAGCAGGAATGTGGGAAAAGCGGAAACATGATCACCCTGGTAGTCCATAAGGCTTAGTTTCTTTGCCTCTCTGAAGTTCAGCTGAGTTGAAATGCAGGGAGGTGTTACAGCTCCCCCGTGCCATCCCGCCCTCCTCGGGTTCCCGTAGTCCAATGTCACAGAAGCCACCACAGGACGGGGAGCCTCTTTTAGCCACTCTGTGGAGTCCCAGCATCCCTTAAGTTTGCATCCCTAGGTCAGGCCTGAGGAACGTCAGGGTCCACTAGATTTCAGGCTGGCTCTGATTCACAGACTCTGTGGAGGCAGCCTGCAGGACCACCTCCCAGGAATTCTAGCCCTAGATTAGAGTTCCTGATACTTTCCCTTATCCAACTCTGCTAGTGCCCGGGATGAGGGAGCTTTACCATCTTCATGTTTGCACAAACATTTACGAGCTTGCAAACATTCCTCAGGCCAGACCTGTCTCCCCAGACATCGTATTCCTGAACTTCCTAGGCTCACCTGTGATGGGGAGTGACAGAACTGGTATCAGGACTAAAACCCAGGTCTTGTTCACAGCTGGGAGTTTTATGGCAGCCTGGAGCCAGGTTCTCTTCAGCAGCAGGAGTGGAGGCCTGTGCTAGGCTGAGGACTTCCAGGCTCTCAATTTTGCTACCTATTGGCCTCCTCCTAAACCCTCCTCAGCTGGAGGGTTGTAGAGGCTTTGGGGGAGGAAATCCAATCCCGAGATAGTTGAGAAGATTGTAAAGTCCTACTTTGTGCTGGACAGAGTCACAAGCACAGGTTGGTTCAGACCTCCCGACCGTTGACTGAGAACCCGTTCTTCTTCCCCAGGGAGAGTCAGCAGAAAGGGAACTTCTGGAGCTGAGAACCAAAGTGTTCACTCAGGAGAGGCTCCTTCAGAGCACAGCCGAGCGTCTGCAAGCTGCCAACCAGCAAAAGGAGGCCATGGAACAGTTCATCCTCAGCCAGTGTGGGAACCCCTGAGCCAAGGTGGGGAGGGGAGTCAGGGTCTCCCAGATGCCCTGCTGGTGCTGAGCAGTGGTGAAGAGGCTTGGGAAGTTGGGGTGGAGAGACTGATGTGATGCCCCCCACCTACCGAGCCACGAGTGACTGTGAATGCAGGAGGGGAGGGTGGGGAAGCAAAGGTCCCCCAGCTGAATGGCCAGAAAAAGCACCTGAGAAAGCACTTGCTGAGTAGATAGGGGCCCAGCTGGTAATTTCTGCTCTGTGGGGCTATTTTGTTCTTTCAGTGACTCGGACACACGATGTTTTAAAGAAGGCAAGGACTAATTTGGAGGTAAGGAAACTGCTGCACCCGTCAGAGGCACAGAGCCTAGCCCTAATCTGTCACCATCTGTTATCAGAGTCTGCAGGTGACCATTGACCTGCTTTGACCTTCTGCAAGAAGCCTTGGGGTCCGTGTGCAGGACTACAGGTCCTCAAAACACGTCCCGCTAGTTTCCATCCCCATCACCTTCACACCCAATCAGCTCTCGCCCCTCCATCTTGGTTAACTCTCACATTGCCGTCATTTCTCCATTTTTTACTTCAGTGTTCCCTCATTGATGCCAAGTTGGGAGTCTGGAGGAATGCAATTCCATTGACTCTTGAAGCTAGCAGACATTTGGGAGTCTGCCTCTGAACAAGTCTTCAGTAAAAGGATCTTGAGGACAGTTATGTGTTCTGTACTTTATGAGAAAATAGAAGCCAGATGCAACCTAATAAATGGATTTAACTGTGCACTGCTGGAATAAGAGCTGCAGTATGATTTTGATACAGCTTTTTCTTTAAGTAACATGACAAAACAGATCATTTGGGTCTCATTGATCTAAAAAAGAATGTGACAATAAATAACAACTGAGCCTTAAGGGAAAAGATGTTATATGTGTCAGACATTGCCTACATTTACTTAAAACACTATGTATTAAGTAAAGGAAGTACTTTGAGGAAACACTTGAGGAGTATGAAATGGTTTAAAAATCAGAAGTGAAACCTTTATCTTGGACTTTAAAACTTGGCCATAAGCAATTGAGCATATTCCTGGGAATGTTCCCACATTGTAAACTGAGGGAATGTTGATCCCCCCAGTGTGAAAATGACTTGGGCCATGATTTAACTTGCTCTTTTTTTTTTCTTTTCTAATTCCCTTTTGTTTTTCTCTGATGATTCCTTTCTTTCCTGAGCCTCTTTAGGACAACACTTACAAGATTGCCTCTGTAAAGCCTTATGCCTGTCCAAGCAAAGGTAACCGGTAGTCACTAGTACCTGCTATCTTCCTCCAGTGAGGAAGCTTTCCTTTCTTCTTCCCTTACATCATTGGAAAGGGCCTGCAGTCTGGGGTTCTAATCCCAGGCTTGTCACTAACTGGTGTGTGGCTTTGGCTGGCTCCTTAGTCTCTGTGAGACCACTGCCCCCTTATTTGGAAAAGGTAGACCTGGGCTTAGATGAGCTCTGAGTTTCCTGCTAATTTGGTCTTACCCTCTCCTTGTTGAGATAACTTTTTTTTTTTGAGACGAGGTTTCACTCTGTTGCCTAGGCTGAAGTGCAGTGGTGTGATATCGGCTCACTGCAGCCTCGACCTCCTGGGCTCATGCGATCCTTCCTATTCAGCTTCCCAAGTAGTTAGGATACAGGTATGTGCCACCATACCTGGCTAATTTTGTACTTTTTGTAGAGACGAGGTCTCACTGTATTTCCCAGGCTAGTCTTGAACCTGGGCTCAAGTGATTCTCCTCCCTTGACCTCCCAGTGTGCTGAGATTACAGGCGTGAGCCACTGCACCTGGCCTGGACTTAAACTTAACAGGGAACTTCCCTGCAGAATGTCCTCTTCTTCCTACAACAGGCTGTTTCTATAGATGCAGATGCTAGGCACTTCAACTCCTGGGAGATGGAGAGGCCCGTTTTCCTGCGGAGACAGAGTGACTTGGGCAGTGAACAGGCCCCTGAAGAAGTGGTAGGACAGGCCAGCCAGTATGCTGTAGGTGTGAGCAGAGGTCTCAGCACCCAGGGAGGTGGGAGTCTCCCCCAGCCGGGGGCACTGGCTGCCCCTCCAGACTGCCGCGCATGCCCTCGGCTCATCCTCTTAACCCGCTCTCACCATGCTCCTGGCTTCGGTTGCCACACAGCTCTCACCCCAGCCTCAGGTAGCCCTCTGCAGGGCTGGATGGCACACACCAATTTGCATTGTTTCATTTTTTGTCTGCAGGTGAAATCCCTCAGAGCTCTGGCGTGCGCTCCAGCCTTGTGACCCTTGCCTTCCAGGAGCCCTGCAAGAAGCGCAGCCACCAGAGGTCCTTAAGGCAGCAGGAAGGATGGGCCTGTCCCCCTTTCTTGCAGCTACCCACCTGCTGAGGAGGACTTGAACCCCGTTCCTCCACACCTGCTGGAGGGTTCAGAAGAGAGAGTCAGAGAGATGTCCTGGTGGAGCTGGGAGGAAGGCAGACGCCTTGCGGACAGTCATGGAAAACCACAAGGCAAGGTCCACTGGTCGGCGCTAAGCAAAACATGCGTAGTTTGCGTAGAGGTCTTGGTGACGCTGCTGCCCCACGGCCCGCTGGCTTGGGAACCGGCCACAGCACCTTTCTCGCCTCAGCAGCTGTCCTGAGACGGAGAACTCCGTGGAAACAGGACTCTGATTCCGATGAGTGGGCATGCGTTCCCAACACTGGAGCTCCTCGGGCAGTTCTGTAAGCACACCACGGAGCAGCAGTGCCCTGCTGGACAGTGCCTGTGGGGGCTTAGCGAGCACTGCTCAGAGACCCACACCTGACCCCGGGGCAGCTCCGGTGGGTCGGGTCAGGCTGGGTTTTAGTCCCCACCCTTGCACCTGAGTTCTCTGAGTTCACATCATGAATGTGGTGACATCCCAGCTGCCATGGCAGGCCCAGCCTCGCACTTTCTACTTCTTTTCTGATGTTATCTTCAAATCGGACCGGCCTCACTCTACATATGCTGTCCCATGTTGTCATTCTGTCTTTCCTCGGGGAAATTGGAGACTGATGGCCAGACCAAGCCCACTGAAATTCTTGCCTAGAGCGAACCTGGCTCATTTTTAATGGGAGAGGCCTCCAGCTGTATTAAAGCCAGTTTGTGTCTTCATAGTGCTTATAGAATGCGTGTCTGTGTGTATAAATGTATGATATAGATTTATATATGTTGCTATAGCCATATGTTGAAGGCCAATATAACTAGTGGACAGGGCTGGAAAAGGAAATAAAACAGTCTTTTTGGTGACTATTAAAGCAAAATGTGTATAAAGAAATAAATAATTTTTCTTTGCCTGGTTTGTTTCCCATTTCTACACCAGGATCTTGAAAGTATAAGAATAGGAAAGACAAACTGCGCTTAAGAAGCTCACAGTCTTATACTAAAAGCTCTAACTTCAAAAGATTAAGGCTTTCCTTTTTGGTCATGTTATAAGAATTCCCAGTCTGAAAATATGAAGGAATGATTCTTAAACTTGGTGTATCTTAGAATCAGCTGCAGAGATTATAGGAGCTACATCCTGGTATGGACCCTAGAATCTGCATTTTTTAAACATAAGCACCCGAGGGTATTCTGTTGCAGGTGGGCTGCAGAAGACAGTTTAAAAGACATGGTTCAATAACATTGGACCAAAACTATAAAATTGTTTCAGAACTTTTAACTGAAATGTATGTAAGCCATTCCATAAACATTAATATAAAGATTTGAAAATATTCCTTGGGCAATATCCTTAGCTACAACCTTTTGACCTCCACCATTAAAATAAAGCTATCACACTATAATTATTTTCTAGAAACATTAAAAAAATTAATACAGGTGGAAGGTGGCATAAGATGGTGTCCTAGAACTCTCCAGTGATGTGCAGTGACTGCAAGAGCATCAGTTGAACAACCATCCAGGCAAGAAAACACCTTTCCAAGAGCTAAATAATCAGGTGAGGGATTACAGGTTTTACCATGATAACAAGAAATGACAGACACATTGAAGAGCGTGGGAAGGACAGTGTGGAAGTGCCTAGGACACCCCTTCCCCAAACCCAGACACTAGTAGGGCAACCTAGAAAGAGAGTCTAAAGGCTTGGAAGGAAGAGGGAAGTGTGGGACTTTGCACTGGAACTTAGTACAAGCCTTGCTACAGTAAAACAGAGCACCAGGCAAAATTTCATGGCCCGTAGTTCCAGGCTGGTGCCCACAGAGGGAGTAGTTAGACCCATCCAGGCCAGAAGAGGATACACGGCCCAGTAGGAGGAACCCAAGTTTTGGCCTTCTTTGCCATTGGCTGACTAAAGTAGCCTTGGGTCCTAAACAAATTTTAGTAGCAGGCAGACCATAATGTACACAGTTATTGGGCAAGCTCTGGTGCTTAGGTCTGGAAAGCTGTGAACTTGAGATGTAGCCAGCATGACATCAGTCGCTGTGACAGCCATGAGAATGCCTGACAGCCCTGCCCCAACTCCAGGCAGTGCGGCCTGGAGCGACTCCTTTTACTCGGGGGAAAGAAAGGCAAGTGAGCTAAGGACTTTACTTGGGAAATCAGGGACACTCCTCCATCTTCTCCAAGACCATCAGGGTTAAGGACCTAGGAGACTGTAAGAGTTGCACTGTGCCTGGCCTTAGGTGCTTTCTAGAGGTGAAATGGTTCCAGTGACCACAGGCTTAGAGATCTCAAGAATTTTTGAAAGGCCCACTGAAAAATGACAGGGGCAAACAAGGCCTGACCGCAAAGAATGGAATAAATACTGAATTCTTCAACGCCCAGACATTGACACACATTCACAAGCATCAAAAACATTCAGGGAAATTTGGCTTCACCAAATGGACTAAATAAGGGACCAGTGACTCTCCCCAGAGAGTCAGAGATGTGTGATCTCTCTGATAGGGAATGAAAACTAGCTGTGTTGAGAAACTTCAAAGAACTGCAAGAAAACACAGGGAAGCAATTCATAAATTTATCTGAGGAACCTAACATGGAGACTGAAATGATAATTAGAAATAAATAATGTTGAAATAATAATTTTAAAAAATCCTCAAGCTGCAAGATGCATTTGAGGGTCTCAACAGCAGAATGAATCAAGCAGAAGAATCAGTAAGCATGAAGTCATACTATTTGAAAATACACAAAGTAGGGGAGGTTCTGGTAAGATGGCGATGACATAGGTGGAATTGTGAGATTCTCCGAACGTGAGTTCGCAAAAAGTCTCTTACTTTCCTTCCCCCACCCCCCTGCCCACTGCCAGCTGCACCGGTCTGAGGCCCGGGTACCCTCAGTTCCACGAAGGGCCAGATATTGCGGCCCCCAGCTGCTGCAGCTCCACTCTACGTGGCCCCTGCCCATCACGTGAGAATCTCGAATCTCGGCTCCCTCCCCGGCTACATCGTCTCACCCAGCACCCAGCACCAAGCTGCCAGTCACCCAGGGAGGCTCTAGGTGCCCGCCCCTCAGAGATACCAGCTCCATTTCTGGCTGAAGTACCCTGTGAGGGGCCCAAAGCCACTCACCACTCGTCACCTGCCCTTTGGAGAGCTGGAGCTCTGGAGCTCTGGGCCCACCCTGGCTGTGGAACCCAGCGTATGACCCCATGCTTGTGTAGGGGAACAGCATATCTTAAGGAGGTGCTGATCGGTGGCTCTCAGCTCCAGAGGAGGGAACTCCTGACTCCCTCCTCCACCCCAGCCTGCTGGTGGCCTACCGGATCCAGCGCCCAGCTGTGCAGCTGATTCCTGGTGCCTTGCACGCCACCACAGCCCATCATAGTGGATCATCCAGGGACCCAGACGAGTGGAGAGAAAGGATCCACGAAAGAGGAGCTGCCCACCTTGGCCATTTTCCAGGCAGAGATTTGCAGTGCCCACCCACCTATGAGCAGCCTCCACCTCGGTTCCTAAGGTAGCATCGCTAAACATTATTTTTCTCTTTCATAGCTCCTTTTGTTCCAGGGGCCAAGCCTACATCCCACTGCACAGACAGATTGCAAGGCAGTGGGAAATAGGTTCCAGTGTGCCCATACACCTGTTGGTGGATGCTGGAATCAGAAGATAGACTTGGAGTCACAGCTTCTCCCCTCAATTAAACTTCAAAACTGCAAAAAATACAGCCCACAGCCCACACTACAGCCTCAAAAGTGAACAAAGCCAGAGGACCCTCATAAGGAAGAACAGGAGATTGCACAAGTGAAGCAAAAACAACCCCACCTTCCCTGAAAAACAGAATTAAAGAAGGGGAGGGAAAGGGGGAGAGAGAGAAAAATCTACACAAATGAAGAAAAACCAAAAGAAGAATATGAGTCTCTCCCAGACCCCTGGGAGGGCAGACACTGAGAAAACTCACTTCGGAATGCAAACAATGAAGAGTCCCCAGAATGACTGGTCTCAAACTACAAACCTAGATATCAAGACATTAATGGAGAATTAAAGAGAATTGAGGAGAGATAAGAAGAAACTAGAAAGGAGTTGAAAACTGAGATAACAGTAATAAAGAATACTGTGAATGAAATAAATAACAAACTGATAAGCATGGAAAGCAGAATTACCCAAGCAGAAGAAAGAATCTCAGATCTTGAGGACCAAAATATAGAACTAACCCAAACTCTTAAAAACACAGAAAACAAGCTTAAAAACACAGAACAAAACCTTCAAGAGATGAGCTATAACTTCAAGAGAAAGAACCTAAGAGTAATTGGCCTTCCTGAAACAGAAAGAGAAACAGAAATCACCTTGGAACAAACATTCCATGAGATCATTGAAGAAAACTTCCCTCATCTTATCAGTGATGCAAAAATTCACACACAAGAGATTCAGAAAAGCCCTTCAAGACAACAAATGAGAAGACCAACTCCTAGACACATAATAATTCACCTAAACAAAGTAGGTATAAAAGAAAAAATCCTAAAGGCAGCAAGAGAAAAAGGCCAGATCATCTACCATGGAAGACCAATTAGAATAGCAGCAGATTTATCTACAGAAACCCTGCAGGCTAGGAGAGCTTGGAGCCCTATCTTCAAAGTCCTAAAAGATAAACAATTTCAACCAAGAATAACCTACTCAGCCAAACTAAGCTTAAAATCTTTCCCAGATATCCAATCCCTAAGAACTTATACTGCCACCAGACCACCGCTACAGGAAACACTTAAGAAAGTACTAAACACAGAGGAAAAGGAAAAAAGAATGATGTTCTTCACCAGAGTACAGGAAAAAGAATAAAATACACATGAACTCACCTCAAACCAAAAGAAAGACAACAAGCCAAGTGGAACAACGACAACTCTATAGGAACTCTATGATAGGGACCAACTCTTACATTTCAATAATTAGCCTGAATGTGAATGGACTAAACACACTACTGAAAAGACACAGAATGGCAAAATGGATAAAATATCACCAGGCAACAATATACTGCCTTCAAGAGACCCATCTCACTAGAAAGGACATACACAGACTCAAAGTAAGAGGATGGGAAACAAATTTTCAGGCGAATGGAACCCAAAAGAAAGGAGGAGTTGCGATCCTAATTTGAGACAAAATACCATTTAAGCTATCAAAAATTAAAAAAGATACAGAGGGTCACTACATAGTAATAAAAGGTTCACTCTATCAGCAAGAAATATCTATCCTAAACATTTATGCACCTAACATAGGTGCGCCAACTTTCATAAAGCAACTTCTAGGAAAACTAAAGAAAGATATTGACTCTAACACCATCATAACTGGGGACTTTAATACCCCACTCACAACCCTAGACAGAACATCAGGAGAAAAAGTCAGCAAGGAGATCTGGAACCTAAATGTGACTCTGGGCCAAATGGACTTAATTGATACCTACAGAACACTCCATCCAAAGGCCACAGAATACACATTCTACTCATCACCGCATGGAACATATTCTAAGTTCAACCACATAATTGGCCATAAATCAAGCATAAGCAAATTTAAAAGGACAGAAATTCTACCATGCACCTTCTCAGACCACAGTGGAATAAAAATAAACATTAACACCCACAAGGTCCCCCCAAAACCCACAAAGACATGGACACTAAACAGCATGATGCTAAACAACTCTGGGGTCAATGATGAAATCAAAACAGAGATCAAAAAATACCTGGAAACAAATGAAAATGAAGAAACAGCTTACCAAAATCTCTGGGATGCCTTAAAAGCTATAGTAAGAGGGGAATTTATATCCTTGCAAACACACATGAAGAAATGGAAGGAAAACAAATTAACAGCCTAAGAAGCCATCTAAGGAAGCTGGAAAAGCAAGACCACAAAAACCCTAATTTCAGCAGAAGAATCCAGATCA